ACGCGTGGCCCATTACTAGGGTGGCCCATTACGTGGGTGTCCGAATTAGGAAATCCTATGACGTTTGCCTACAACTAACACCAGAGAGGTTTGATAGGCATACAGTCAGCCTGCCTACAGTAGAACTTTGCTTCTGGGCCAACACACGCTTCATCTCTTTTTTATTGACGCAAAGATTCTATTCGCAAAAGGGCCATGAGATAAACGTTGGACCCGTCATGCTCCACGCTTGATGCCACCCAGTGTTAAACTGCCAAGTGGCAACTTGTACTTACCTTGCCCATTGCAACAATTGACGATGGTGACGATGGCGAGTTATGATGGTTGGATTTACATGGGCTTGTCTGAACCTTCCCAATGAACAGTCGTACGTTACTTGTCACCAAAGGATGCAATCGGCTGTGACGTGCATCACTGTCTAGTCCTACCTTTGCAAGGTGCTCAATTTTTCATGCATGGCGCCTGCAGGCCTCCTCAAAAGATTGATGGCACTCATTTGCAGCTCCAGGGAGAGTACGGGGGTAATTAAAATTTAATGTTTCCTCGGAGACCATGAATCAATCACCAACTCCACAAAGCGATTCAGGATCCCCTCATCTATGACACTCTGACACAAATCTGTACCATCGCCAGGTTGAGTGACATCCTCCTCTTTATGGTCGATACCAGCTAATCTTCTGTTAGAACACCTCGGGCTTTGCTCGTCTGCAACAATGTCAGATCCCAAGCACAAATCTGTCGCGTCTACAGCACAATCTGTCTCATCTTCAACATACTCTGGTAATACCACTTCGGTTGGAACTGCCACTGAACAGACTGTTAAAAAAATTGAAAAGGAGAGATGTTGTCTTCGGCCGAGAGAGCCAAAGAAAAGAGGGCCAAAATAAAGCAGATGCTGAAAGACGCCGACTGGATGAAGAAGCGAAGCAAAAGTGAGGCGAAATCGGAGCGTTTCATTCTGAACCAACGAACCGAGCCATATGTTGTGTCCTCAAATCTTTCAGATAGTTTTTGTGGTCCGTAATCTTTGCATCGATAAATCCGGATGCATTCAGAGTCCAATATGGAGCCAAAATTCGATGGAACTGGATACAATCGACTCCTGCTGAGTGTGTTGGCGCGAGTCGAGGCTGTAGGTGCTCCAAGAACAGGTTGTATGTCACGCGGGAATGGTTCAAGCTAGCCCAAAACCAGTGTGTCGCTTTTTCGAGGGCATCTTTCATGATTTTGGTGTAAAATCCGGGTTTAGGCGGCGAGGACTGGTCGTCGTCTTCTTGTCCGAAAATATCCAGAAAATCCACACACATTGCGTCATAATGTTTCCTTTTCTCCCCTCCAAGTCCGTCAACGGGGTACCCACTCAGCCAAAAGGGTGGAGAGAGTGTTTCAATAGGCAAAACGGGTATCCATTCAAGGTCGAAAAGACAAGTAATGTCGTACCTTTCGTTGACCAGTATGTTGCTTGGGTCGCAATCCGTCCAAATGTGACAGAAAGGTCCGGACTGAAGATGATCCATGGTAAAATTGGGCGACAGAGCTCGCATCATGGTAAGGACCGCCATTTGACTCTCAGCTTCGGACTCATCGGGAACTGCATTTGGCTGATATCTCAATTTCATGTCGTGACATTTTAGAATGTCGCGGATATACGAATCGGTAGTGACATAAGTTCGATCGTGCGGAATGCTTGTAGGGATGCCGCTGCTCTCCAGTAAAGGAAGCTGAATCGTTAATGGTCGGTTGCTGAGACTTATATTCCCAGAATTGTCGACCGTGAAAGAACCAATTTTCGTAAAATGATGTCCTGCCAAGTCAAGCATAATTCTTGACAGGCTTCTGTAGAAGTTCTGTCTCTGCTTGTCAGTCTCGGGGGGCCACATCTCCGACAGCTTGGTCCCCTGCTCCTTTTCGACGAAATCCACCAGGAGATAACCAGACTTCAATGGAAACGGAGTTTTGCAGGGGGCAAAGGGAGCGTTAAATGGTTGTCGCCAGGCCCAGCAGCGTTTCAAAGTTTCGATAAATCGTCTGATCCAGGAAAGATGTGTAACGGGCGTAAACTAGAACTAAGTAAGCTCCGATCCCGGTACATCCTATGGGCCATACGCTAGAGCCATTTGGAAGTCCAAACCCCCAAAGGCGGGGGATCGGAACTTAAGGACAGTTTTGTGAATTCCAGATATATGTCGCAGCTTCACACCGGATCTTCTCATCCAAACCATCTGGCCCACCCAGCATGTGGGGAAATGGGCACCTCAACATAAGCCGCTGTTCTCGCCAGTTGGAAATATTAACTGGGATGCAGGCATTGAAACCGCCATCTCGCCATTCAGACCTATCTGAAACCTTACACTGTTGGGACCGGCTCAACGATAGGTGGTGAGCAACGAGGCGGCGGATGTTGGGTATTTGACATTGGAGGTCGTCAAAGAAGGCTTGCCTTGAAGGTTCCCATTGTAATTTGACGAGCATATTATCATTTTCCTCTTCGATCTCTTCCCACTCTTTCGCTTTGCTGGCCACATGAAGAGCAGGAGCGGAATCATGCCCAAGCACAGGTCGAGGAGCCATAGCTGATCGGACATCAACTCGACGTGAAGAGTCTGGTTGAAGCACAGCTTGCGCCGTGGGAGGGCTGGACCGAAGGACGGCTGCAAAGCCAGAAGTAGCTCTGAATGAGATGAGAAGAACAGCACAGTACGAAAGAATTATTGCTGCAGACACGTGAAAGAAAGCAAAAGAATTTACCTGCGTGTGAAAATGAAAAACATTCCACCACGACAAACTGCGCGAGTTCGCTGGAATTCTATTTAGGAAGGTGTGACGAGAGACTTAGCAATTTCAGGGTGAACGTAGGTCGGTCGGACATTCTAGGTAGCCTATCTGGAGACTGAAAGCTAAAAGAAGCTGACCATAGCCTTGCTCGGTAACGTATTAGCAGTGGGGAAAACGGGGACTCATTCACCAACTTTTTGGGTCCGAACTAGTTGAACGTCAATATTTAGGACTCCGACCAGGGTCCGTCCGAGCTTCTTCCGAAAGTCGATGCAACAGTTGTCGTGTACAGTAAGGCTTGCCTACATGTGCGCAATAGTACGGTGACAAAATTCGCTTCACTTAAGGACGATTGAGCACATCCAGTGCGTCGGCGTTGCATCGCATAATGCAGTGCTCCATCAACTGCCGAATTCAGTCTAACCAGCAAACATGCTCGATGCCTAGTCACTCTGCTGTCTTTCTCTGCAGTACCTCTTTGCAAAGGGAGTGTAAATGTCCACATTCTTCCTAGTGTGAAGATTCAAGAAGGGAAATCCATTTCCTCCCTCCTACGGCTCCTTTACGCGTCAATCCTCATAATGGGACTCACTGGTTCCCAGAAGACCATTCCATGGGTGCGGTTTAGCTGACCGGACTAACATCGGTATACGCTCTCCTCCACTCAGCAAACTCAGACGTGCTAGGATCGCTCGAGTAGATGCAGCATCCCCTACTCATGCAATCAATGATTGATGTTAGGCACTCCATGGCTAAATGGCTATGGTTTAGAGATCTGTCGGGCGAGAAGCAGGAGCTGATACTCCGCCTTCACTGCGACATAGGTCCAATACTTTTGGTCGTGCCACCGCCAGCGCACGACGCCGATAAAGACGATACTGAGCGAGCTCTGGAGGAAGAAGCATGTCTTCAGATTACAGGAAGATCGAAACTGGCTTGGCTAACAATGAGAGGGTGGCCTTTGTGCCCTTCTGCCTAAGACGAAAGAGTGGGGTATGCTGCATGCGTCTCGCATTCCTTCACAACTTCCTCGAGGACCAATTGGCTCGTCCTTCACTCACTGCTCGCCGATTCATGGGTGGAACAGGTGGTCCTATGCTCTCAGCTGGTCAAATTCTACAAACCCGGGCTATCCTATACTCGATAGTTGCTGCGACTACCCTACGACCTACTAGAGGAGATTATCTCTACTTACACGGTACCCAGCAGTCGAATAAACTCCTTTTGAACCCCCCAAACGGTGAGACTCAGCAGGATTTCTGAGGTAGTTCGCGTTCCCGCGGAGCTCAGGGGACATTGCCGAGCAGGACAGTTTCGCCGCTTGTCAAGGAGGATTTGGCTCCGTGGCGGACAAGCGCAGGGAGTAGAATTGAGCCTCAGTACGAACATGGAGCGGGAGGACCCGTCCCCCATGTGCTACCCAACTTAAATGTTACTGTAAGATCGGCTTCGTCCCCCCTGAAATTCAACCCGATCTTTACGGGCGATTTCTGTAGGGAAGACGACTGGTTTATGGTGTCACGACGGGATTATTCGGGATGTAAACCCTCCGCCCAGGCTATGGCATGAACATGGCTCGTAAGTTGGGCACCAACGCTCTGTATGGAGTAGAATCACCGAAACATGTGCATTCAAGAGTTCGCACTAGGGTCTTCAAGCGAATGCGGTTACCCCGCATGTTCGTCGTTTATCGGGCGGATGACGCAGAGTGGTCTTGAAGTGGTCGATAGATACATTGACGGGAAACCATTCTGACGTGCTCAGCTTCCTCCCCTCATTCCGAATCCCGAACGAACCCTTACCGTGCGGTTTTTACCGACCTCCGCCGCATTGTTGAAGTCGCGGACGATCCTCGCGCGTCGATAGATCTCACCGCGTCTCTATTTGAGGTGCTGTTGAGTTTCAGTCCTGGACAATCCAGACTGTATATGACACTAGCCACGAAGAAATGGATGACGGCTGATGAAATACAGAACCTTTGGGGGTGGGGTCCCTGTGAAATTGAGTGCCTGCCGTGGCTTCGGTTCATGTGATTTACCCCGCCTTTATACGGCCGGCTCGCGTTGCTGGCAACCTCCATCTTGCATGCATGAACCTCTGTTCAACGCCTAGTAGTTTTTCATGCACGACATCATCAGTTGGACTGGATATGAAACATGGGGAAAGGCGTACTTCAAGACTCTTTATTATCTCGAGAATACTACTAGAATAATGGGGCGTGATGTAGTACTATAAAAACTTTTGTACCAAACCTGGACTCTCTCCTGAGATCCTGTTTAGTTATTTTGACGCAAGGATGGCGATGCCACGTGATTTAAGGTATACGGACCTGTCTGCCCTTCTTAGGACCCTAGTTTACAATCACTTGCGGTGGATTGATACTATAAAACACTCCTGCAATGTAATATCTAGGTCGTGCATCTACCTTTACTACTGGCAACGCCGGCATCCAGCGGGAAACAAAGCCTTCGAATGAAGAAAGTCTTACGTTCTGGTCTAGAATATGGCAAACTCAGGTCAGGTGTTAGATTCTTTGAGGTGGGGTCGCATAGGCACCTTGAAATTTGGAGGTGATGCTGAGTGGAGCCACGTTGTGAAGAGGACCGCCCGACAGAGCACCGGGAGATGCTACATTATACTGGATTAGATGATATTTTTGTCTACCGCACTCAATTTCAAGTCACTGACTTCCCAACCACTCCCTCACATGAGCACATCAGTTGGAGCACCCGGAACCACGGCACGGCCAAAATCTCCCCGTCATCTCATCGCGATTCAGCAGCACTTACTCCCGGAATTTTCCTCATACCTCTCAAGTCCAGGATCGTTCCAGCCTAATTTATTTGCTAGACATCCTTCCCTGGAAAATAACCATGTTGAGACAGGTACGCGGGTGCCATTGTCCCCTTTGGCGACTTTGTCCATCCTGTGCAACGACTAATTTCATGGGGCTCACAGGACTTTAGCATTAAAAACGACTCGAAAAACGAGACCTGGGTATGCTACGTCTGGGGTCGGGCGATATATCGGCCGGGCGATATAAATCCTTACCAAGAGTACCTTAGCGACCCTGTTGAGATTAGAGTAGGCCCGGGACAAAAGGCCAAAATAGTCCAGGGGGGGGAAGACAAAAAAAAGCGCCGGACCGAGAGTGGCGGATGAATTGTAGGCCTGACAGGGATGATCGAGTCGGTGTAAATCATGAGGGTTATAGAATTCAGCTAGACGCTCCCGCTATCCCCCTATCGACTATGCCCATCTTACTGGGTTCGCTACCAAATATCTACATTTGCGCATCCGAAAGCAGTGCGCTCGCAGAGTTCGAACGCTCGCTCCCAAGGGACGATCACCTGAGACCCATCCGACAGCGTGAACTGGCCGGGTAGTATGTTGTTGAGAGGTAACGACAAGTGTACTTGATTACTCAAGGTTTCTATGCCAGCAATTGCACATAAGAATTGAGAGAGCTCAGTCGAAGTCTTCAAATCGAAAATGTACTGATAGACGGTATGCGATGTCGCCTGCATTGCTTGTTGTCCCTGCACAGCTTGTTCTTGTTGTTGCGCCGCCTGGTGTTGTTCCGCCGCTTGCTGTGCGGTATATTTCGTTACAAGCTCTGATAGATAGGCTTTCCGTTTGTCACGGCCGACGGCTCCTATGGCATTGGGTTTAAATCCCTCGTTCTGCGCGAAATTTTCGCTTGTCCTTTCCACAAGTGCTGCCCGAAACTCCTGATATTTCTCGTGTCTCTGCTTCGCCTTAGTCAAAGGCTCTGATACCTTCCGCTTTTTACGGGTGAATGATGTAGTTTCAACTTTGCACTTGGCCTTCCATATCTTCACTGTGTTTGTCAATGCGTCAACGATCGCGCTGACATCTTCATCGGTCTGGGGTTCGTATTCATTGACAGATACTGCTGTCAATTGTCCGGTTTGCTGGCAGAGGACTTTGATGTCAACAACGAATTGCTTTTGGGCGGAGGTCTCCATATTCGGAGAGGCAAGAACGGTTCGCAGGCGTAGGGCCTTAATCCAAATTTGGCTTGGCGTGTCCTTCAGGAAGGAAAAGGTCGTGGGAAAAGGTCGTGGGAAAAGGTCG